ACAGATATATTTTGGAATGGATATATTTTATCCAACTTTATTTCTTATTACTCTAAAGTTTATTTTTTTTAAATTACTAACAACCGTCTTAGATTGAAAAGTCTTTCGAAAGAAAACTTGTGCGTTTCCCAAAAGGAATCGAACCTGAAACCAAGAACCGCATCTCAAATTTCCAAGAACCGATTGTATAAATGCAGGTAAACGTTACGAATCAATTCTGCTTATTTTCTTTTCAATCCGAGAATGGAAACAAGTCCCTTTATTGTATAAAAAAGAATTAAGCCATTTCCATAATTTGATAGGAAACATTTATTTATTTATTAAGATATTTCTAGATTGAAATTCTGTTCTCATCATATTTTACTTTGGAAGTATGAGGCTTTTTTTGAATTTAGTGCTGTAGTTCTTTACCATTTTTGGACCATGCCCGACTTTAATTCTTACATATTGAAATTTTTACGACTATTCACGTGAAGGAAGCTTAAAAGGCCATTGGACTCTAAACAAGCCTCCAGAGACCATGGCGTCCATGAAAGAGAAAAATTAAAAGAAACAAAAAGACAGTCGAATATATATAATTTGAAAATATATAATAGACAACTGAATGGCAGAAATATAAAATATTTGAACGAAAACTTATTCTATAATATACTTTGATCCTTTTAATCGTGAAATAATAATTCAAAATGAAATTTGAGCTTACTAGAAAATAATTCGGTTAATAATTCATTCTCTGTTGGTATAGTAAGCCGAAGGGTGCACATCCTACGTATGTCACACCAAAATATTACCATGCCTCACCTGTGAGGCATGCATCCCATGTTGGGCCGTCCTGGGTATGACGATAAACTACATCCGCGTCCTGGGTAAGACGATAAACTACATCCGCGTCCAGGGTAAGACGATAAACTACATCCGCGTCTTGGGTATGACGATAAACTACCTCCGCGTCCTGGGTAATACTATAAACTACATCCGCGTCCTGAGTAAGACGATAAACTACATCCGCGTCATGGGTAAGACGATAAACTACATCCGCGTCCAGGGTAAGACTATAAACTACCTCCGCGTCCTGGGTAAGACTATAAACTACACCCGCGTCAAGGGTGAGAGTATAAACTACATCCGCGTCCTGGGTATGACGAAAAACTACCTCCGCGTCCTGGGTAAGACTATAAACTACATCCGCGTCCAGGGTATGACGATAAACTACATCCGCGTCCTGGGTAAGACTATAAACTACGTCCAAGAGCAAGGCCTCTGATCAGATTTTGAGGAGCGTGGAACCACCTCTTAATTGCTGGTGTTCCCAGGTCCACCCTGACCCGGGGTGGTAGAACCTTTTAGGGCCCCACCTATTTTGATATACGCATATTGTATATGCATCGTATGTATTGTCATGCATTAACATCAACACTCTCACTCAGACTCAATAGAAAACAATTCACTGCTAATAACTCATTCTCGAACTGCCCTCTTATTCTGTTGGTATAGTAAGCCGAAGGTTGCACATCCCACGCATGTACCACCAAACTGTTACCATGCCCAACTGGTGGGGCATACGCCCCACGTTGGGAATCATTGCTCTAACCTCATCAGTTGTATTATGGTATCTTAGACACGTTCGAACTGAAACACTGCAGACCCAAAGTAAGACAAAACAATGACAAGAAGATTTACCACATTTTAACTCCAGGACGATTTCTTTGGTAGAAATAAAATTATATTCATCGCAGAAAACATACTTTCTGCCTTCGCTGAACTTACAGAAATGGCATTAATTATATTTTTAGCTATGTCGCCTATTAATATACAGACTATTTTCGGATAATCCAACAACTAAGCTTCTATAATTTCAAGAATCGGCTCGCGCGATCCGGTGCGAAACGGCAGGGGGCCAACACTGCCAGTATGCCATTCTCCAAGAAAGGAAACCAAGCCGCTTCTAGAGCCGAAATCTTCTACTACCAGGTTGGCATCAGGAAGCCACGTTGATAAAGAAACGTTTGAAATACGGATATAAGGAACGCACCAATCTGATTTGGTCTTCAACGATTCTATATCTACTAGCTTCCCTTTCATATCCGATCAAAGCTAGCTGTTTCGTATCTGATATAGTTCGGCTGTTTCATATCTGTTCTAGGTCGGCCGTTTCGTATCCGATCCAGGCCGGCTGTTTAGTATCTGATCCCGGCCGGCTGCATCGTATCCGATCTCAGCCGGCTATTTCATATCCGATCTAGGCCGGCAGTTTCGTATCCGATCCCGGCCGGCTGTTTCGTATCCGATCTAGGCCGGCTGTTTCGTATCCGATCTAGGCCGGCTGTTTCGTATCCGATCTAGGCCAGCAGTTTCGTATCCGATCCCGGCCGGCTGTATCGTATCCGATCTGAAAGTGGCAGTTTCGTATCGATCCCGGCCGGCTGTTTCGTATCCGATCTAGGCCGGCTGTTTCGTATCCGATCTAGGCCGGCAGTTTCGTATCCGATCCCGGCCGGCTGTTTCGTATCCGATCTAGGCCGGCAGTTTCGTATCCGATCCCGGCCGGCTGTTTCGTATCCGATCCCGGCCGGCTGTTTCGTATCCAATCCCGGCCGGCTGTTTCGTATCCGATCTAGGCTGGCTGTTTCGTATCCGATCTAGGCCGGCTGTTTCGTATCCGATCTAGGCCGGCAGTTTCGTATCCGATCCCGTCCGGCTGTTTCGTATCCGATCTAGGCCGGCAGTTTCGTATCCAATCCCGGCCGGCTGTTTCGTATCCGATCTAGGCTGGCTGTTTCGTATCCGATCTAGGCCGGCTGTTTCGTATCCGATCTAGGCTGGCTGTTTCGTATCCGATCTAGGCCGGCTGTTTCGTATCCGATCTAGGCCGGCTGTTTCGTATCCGATCTAGGCTGGCTGTTTCGTATCCGATCTAGGCCGGCTGTTTCGTATCCGATCTAGGCCGGCAGTTTCGTATCCGATCTAGGCTGGCTGTTTCGTATCCGATCTAGGCCGGCAGTTTCGTATCCGATCTAGGTCTGCTGTTTCGTATCCGATCTCGGCCGATTTTGTTGAACTGCAGTAATATCAGTGATCTTATGCAATCATTTAATATTAATTGAAATCCAGAGGAATGGACGCTGTTCGTTGATTCCTCAAAGAAAAGTCTCGAATATGTCTTGTTACACAATGGTGATGTTTTATCTTCAATCCCAGTTGTTCATGCAGTTCAAATGAAATACACTTATGGCAATATGGAATAACGACTGGGATGTATCACCTGTGAGCAACATGGCCGGTAACTTTGCAACATTTGAAGCTTGTTACTCTCTGCTAAGACTACAAAGTGGACATAGCAAAGTACTGTTGTTTTCTTTGTGAATAGGACAGCCGAGACAGATGTTCTCCTCACATCAAGAGAAACTGGCTACAAAGACAATCACTGGAACCTTGGAAGGAAAATATTCTGCCTCTTTCACTAGTTGCGTTAAAGAGAATTTTGTTGCCACCTCTTCACATCAAGTTTGGTCTTATGAAACATTTTATGAAGACAATGGAAAAAACCAACATTTATGTATGTGCAGAATAAATTTTCCAGTTTTAGTGAAGCATAGATAAAGGAAGACATCTTTGCTTGTCTCCAGATTCATAAACTTCTTTCAGATGAAAATTTTTGGTTCTAGGTCAGTTGCTTTTTGGACATTTGCGCCCAGGAAAATTGCGTCCCAGACAATTGCATTCCTTGACATTTGCGTCTCTGTATAATTGCGAAGATGGACATAAGAGCAAGACCAATCCAAACAGATAACTGAAATCTTTTATAAGATCAACGTTCCGTTTAAATATGATCACGTCGTCGTCACGTCGATGTTGTGAAAACGTTTCCTAAATTTGAGTATTTTGAATGAAAAACGAAAAGAATTTTATTTGATCCTTGCTCTTATGTCCATCGTCTTTTCATGTTGAATTAAATATAGTCTAATGTTAATTATGTTTTATGGATATGTCCTGAAGATGGTCTACTAGACCGAAACGTCCGACGTTGACATTATATTAACATTAAAACAGCATAATTGCATATTAGGATTTTGTTTGTTTTTTCCGTATATTTTTTTTCATACTGTCGGATCTATATCCATATATTTGCTTATATATATATATATATAAATATATATATATATATATATATATATATATATATAAATATATATATAAATATGTAAACTGTAAATCTAAATTCCAAATAATGTTTAATTAATATTTTTGAAATGTCAACGTCTGACGATTAATATTTAAAAAAATCGACAACGTGACCATGCTTAAACGGAAATATGATCATTTAAAATTTTCAAAATTATCTGTTTTGGATAAGACTTGTTTTTATTTCCATCATCTTTGTCAAATTAAACTGATTATATTATTATATATTTTAATGAATATTGTCCTGAAGAATGTTTATTAAACCGAAACGTCAGACGTTGACATTTCATTCATATTAAAACAACATAATTGCATTTAAAATTTTTGTTTCCAAATATTTTCTTCATATATATATATATATATATATATATATCAACCGATATATATATATATATAAAAAAACTTTTTATTGCACATCATGTAGTTGAACAAACCAGCGCCCAAGGAAAATAATAATAAAAAAAAAAAGAACTAAGAACATGAAATTCAGGAAACAATCGTCCAAATTCAAGCTCAGAGTCCAAAAAAAAAAAATCATAAACATTTATAGGCAACTTGTAAAGTGTTTTTCAATATGCATAGATAAGACAAACCTAAGATAAACCTAAAGGATGAGGTTTCCTAACATGTTTCACCTAAACGGATCGTCAAAACATATATATATATATATATATATATATATATATATATATATGTTATATTATATATATATATATATATATATATATATATATATATATATATATATATAAAAATTTTGATAAATTAAATACCCAATTATATTTTCAGATTTCTTTTTGAATTTTTAGGTCTGATGA